CGCCCCGCCCCGCCCCGCCATGCCCCCCAAGAAGCAGCAGCAGCCGGCGGGGGGCAGCAAGAAGGCGGACCAGAAGAAGAAGGAGAAGATCATCGAGGTGAGGAGGCTCAGGCCGCCGTTCTCCCGCCGCGGCCTCTCGCTGGGCCCTGCCGCTCCCTGCGGCTTCCCGGCTGGAGCGGCCGAGGGAAGGATCGCAGAGCCGAAACCTCTCAGTTCCCGGGGAGACACTGCCTTCTCTGCGCTTCTTGGAGCCAGCTTTAGCCGGAATATTGCCAGGCCCGAGCTGTGTTGGGCCTGAACGCGATCTGACAGCACTGCTGTGCTGGCTTTTTCCTCGCCCTTATTCGTATTCGTTCTGGTGTCCTGTGTCTGTGTATTCCCAGAGTCTGGCTCGCTGGCGTGTAGGTTTGTGCTTTCAGGGGTAGATGATCTCCAGAGATCCCTTTACACACTAATGATATTGTTTCTTCACTCAGATTTGCGGTGCGTTCTGTTACAATTTGACCCGTGTGACCAGATTGAAAACAAAACCTGCTAGAGGCATGTGTGTGTCTATGCTCTGTGTGTGAATTAATGCTGAGAGTACAAGCAGAACAGTTACAGAAATTTAAATATTTGCCTGAATTACTGGCATGAAAAATGCTGCTCAGGTGAAACAGCCGTGTAAATGAGTGTGTTCCTTTATATCTGAAGTTGCAGATTGTTGTTTCTGTGGTTTTTGGAAAGGTCAGGTTAGAGCAGTTGGTCTTGTATTCTGCTGTTGTAGTTTCTGAGGTTCTTGCTGAATGCAGCTGCCCCAGAAAAATTCTGCTTTTTATTACAAAGAAGTATAGCTGGAAGGGGAAAAGCTGGCACTGATTGTTAATTTTTTTTTATACAAATCAAAGACACAGAGATTATATTTTCCATATTGTATTTACAGTGGAAATCAAATGTGTAAATTATAAATTTTCTTTCCCTACTACTCTCCTGTTAACAAGTAACAGAGAAGCTGCTGTTCATAGGGAACATGTTGTAAGTAAAACAGAATGATTCTGGAAACTTGGAGCTGTTTATTTTGTAATTATTTTATACTTTATATTTTTGGATTGTTAGGCCTTCCAAAACCATATTTGAGCTGAGCTATTTTCACTGGATGAACATCTGTTATTTTTTTCTTCAAGGAGGAAAATGTTGGTATCAAATCAAAGGCATGCATAAGTTTTTATGGCAGGTATTTCAGTTACAAAAAATAATTTCTGCCTCAGCTACTCATGTGAAAGTAAGCTGGTTTTTGTTTTTGTTTTTTGTTAGAATTTTTTGTAGATTTGGTATAGAAACTTCGCCTTAACAATAAAGCTGAAGATGCAGAGGAAGAATTGGTTTAGGCAGTAAACAGAAACTTCAAGCAGTGGATTTTAGGAAGTAGAGACACCTGTCCAGACCTGATGTAGGATAAAGACTTAATTTCAAATGAGTACAGTTAGAAAAGGAAAAGCTTCCAATACTAGAAAATAAAAAGTAATATGTCACATGTGGTAATACTCATCTATATAACATATATCACTTTCTATCTGAGTAGTTGAAGATAGAAGTAATGAGTGATTTCAGGTAGATAGAAGAGAAACAAGCAGTAGTTATGGCTAATCAGTTGTCCTGTTTTCCTCAGATGTTTTCCTCAGATGTTCCTTGGGTAGTCTCCAAAAATATCTTGTCCTGTTGCCTTGACAGGCCTGAGAACACTGTGTGTCCACACTCACACTGATACCAGGGCACGAGGAGGTCTGGTGATAAAACCAGGAGCTCACACAAGGGCCACATTCAGGAGGTTCTGGTGACAAGCCACTTCTGAAGATGATATTTTATTTATATAGATATATATATTTATTATTTTTTTTTGTCCATACTGTTTCTTGCATTGCTTGTGTTGCTTGAGGAAATAATCTGTTTTACTGAAAGCCTGAGGGGAGTGGCAAGGACGAGGTTTCAGTTGTTTTGGTGGTTTTTTGGTTTTTTTATTAATATGGCTGTGTTTATCTCTTGATTTTAGGATAAAACATTTGGCCTAAAGAATAAAAAAGGTGCAAAGCAGCAGAAGTTTATCAAGGCTGTGACTCACCAGGTTAAGTTTGGTCAGCAGAACCCACGTCAGGTAAGCATTTATTGTGGACTGTTTTTCCCACTGCATAGTCAAATCATCTTTCACTCTGTAAACAAGTGGTCAGGTACTGAAGCTACCTGAAGGTTGAGCTTGCCTCATGTGACTGGCACAGGTCTGGCTAACAGTTGTCATGCAAAGCTTGTCTAGCTGTAAATTATGTACCTCTGTAAAGGCAGTACAGAGAATGGGGGTTTGCTGGTTTTTAGTTTTCTGGTTGGCTTTTGTTGCGAAAAAAGAACTGCATCCCATCCAAACTCAACTAGTCAGGGTGAGTGTTTGTCTCCATGGTATTGTGACAGTAGCATAATTCAGTTTTGGTATATATGAAAATAAATTGTAGATACTGGCTGTCAGCAGAGTTCAGTTGCACCTTCTTTCTCTTTTTTCTCTTGAATTCCCACTTTATTTGAGAAATAGTGAGCAGTCAAAACTAGAAATAATTACTAAAACTGGAATTGAAAGAAAATAAAATATAAAAACCTGTATGTTCTCATTCTTCTACTTACAGAAGTATTTATTACAATTTTAAGTGGGCACTAGTCTGTCAAGTGTCCATCTATTTGGTGAACTCTGGTCAAAACCCCTGAAATTCTGAGCCGCTGTCTGCAACTTGGCTCGTCTGTATGATGAAATAAAATGAGATACAATGTTTACATTATACTCAATCAAAAAGCATGGATTTAATGGAAATGATCCAAGTCTCTTATTCCTATAGTGGTAGCAAGGCTGGCTGTTAAATATTTACATAGCTTTCTGTTCTATGAATAAGCCTGTAAAATAATTACAGTTGCATTAGCTCAGTTCATGATGTCATGATATGTTCCTTGTGTAACAAGGATGAACTAGCATGGTAAGCCCAGCTTGAAAAGTAAAGTTGTTATTTGGGGCATTAAATCTAATAATTTTTTGGTTATTGAAAAGGTTGCTTGATGCTACTTCAGAAACACTAGTGTTACTCAAACAGTTCTGAAACTTGTATATGAAATTCCTGGATCTGTGGCATGTGTACAAATACCAATATGTAAAATAGGCAACCTAAAATAATGTTATTTCTCAAATGCTAGTATTTATTGACTACTGGATGTCAGGACCAAATTTTTAAACCTGATTTTACCTCTCTTACCTTACAGAATAGCTTTCAGTTAGGATTGTCCCTGAGAAATAACTTCTTAAAGCAATTTTCTTAGCGTCCTGAGATTAAAATGGAAATGCTGTCAGAGTTATAGCTTTGGTAGTGGGTGTTTTTGGGGTTTTTTTACTCCTTTTTGGATTTGTTGTTGTTTCTTTGGTCTTCTTGTTTCTTTGATTTTGGGGGATTTTGTTGGTTTGTTGGGTTTTTTTTGAGACAAGCTTTGTCTTCAAGATTTTAGAGCTCTGAAGAGAAACGAAAGCATTCTTAAAGTACAACTTCCTGTACTTGATATATGTGGGTCTGCTTGTTATTTAAAATGGCATTTGTGAACTTCTAGTAGGAAAACTAACCAAGCTGCTAATTCCTTTTTAAAACAATTTGGTGTATTTTTGCCAAAATCACCTTAAGAACAAAGCTTCTTTTTTAATATTACGCTGTATTTTAGAAAATAGTATCCTACCTGCTTGTTTGTGGCGTTAGTGTCACTGACTTGCCGTAAGGACAAGAGTCAAATAAACACAGAATCCGTAAGGGTAAAGAAAATCTCTAAGATCCTTGAGTCCAGCCATTAACTCAGCACTGCCTGTTTACCACTAAACCATGTTCTCAAGTGCCACATCTACACATTTTGAACACTTGTAGGGATGGTGAGTCTACCAATGCTTGACCCACCCTTTCAGAGGTGAGATGTTTCCTAAAACCTCATCTAAACATTGTCTGGGGTAACTTGAGACCATTGCCTCTTATGCTGTCGCGTGTTACCTTGAAAAAGAGATGGACACCCACCTTGCTAAAACCACCACTCATATCTGATCTAAGAATGTTTCTCCCATGTCCTGTTTCATATGTTTTCATTCCACTTGGGTATAAACCACACCTGCTCTGGCTTATCCAAAAAAGGGTGAGGCAGGGTCAGGTATTTTTTTCTTTATAGATGCAATTTCCTTCCCTGGCTTGTTTTCCTGTCTTTAGTCCTTAATTAAGCAGTGAAATATTCATATGTTCAGTTGATCCAAGTTGAAATAATGTTCTAAAAGCACTTCCAACTTCTATGGACAGATGTTCTTTAATTTCTACTTGTATAGATGAGATGAAAGAGCAAAGCAGCATGTAGGGGACTCAAGAGGCTTTTTTTGTGCAGATCTGGAAGTAGTTGCACTGCAAAAGAGCGAGAAGTTTCAATGCCTCTCTGGCTTTCCTTCCTGTAAAGGTGCAGTAGGGGTCACTGTGGCACTAAAGGTACCTGCCAGCACCTCTCCTCTCTGGCAGATTTGCTGGCCCTCCTGTGGGACAGGTGCCCTGGTTTTGGCTGGCCCTGCAAAATCCCTGCCCTGGCATTTTGGCTTAGCTAGCTAAAAAAACTACCTAAAAAGCAACCCACTGTTTCTGCTGCAGACAACATAGGCCATGAAAAAGAGTGCAGGGGAGCAAGTGCACTTTCTGAAAACAAACTGTGCTTCTTTTCCCCCCTTCACTCTTAGAACCAGTCTTAAAGGTGCAGAACTTAATATCCAGCATAAACAGAACAGACAGATGGGGATACAAGCATCATAAAGTCACTCTGCAGCACTAGGTCAGGGCCAGTAAAGGGCACCAGCTGCACACACAAGAGCAGCAATTCTGAGCCTTCCAGGCATCACAGGTTGTTTCATTCCTGCCCTTGTAAACTCATTTTGAATGATTGGCTATTTTAACGTGCATTTTATGTGGAGTCCTAACACCCTGGTTTTATATTTATAGGCTGCTCAATCAGAAAGTGAGAAGAAATTAAAGAAAGAAGATAAGAAAAAGGAATTACAAGAATTAAATGAACTCTTCAAGCCTGTGGTTGCTGCACAGAAAATAAGCAAAGGTATGACTAAGTGATTTATCTTCATTTATGTTTTGTTATTCATATAACTACTGAAGGTATAATAACCCTTCAAAAACACCTATTGGTATTTTAATGAAATAGACTATTTCCTCCTTCATCAGTGCATCAAGTATTTTGTCAGTCATGATTTGACATTGTTTTGGGAAGTCCCCTGGGCTCAGAAGATCATTTAAATACCAAAAGCTGCATTGATGTTGTCAGCACAGCTGAAGATATTTGGCTGTGTTCTGATTCATCAGATGCTTCTGGATATGTGGCATGATTCTGTGTGTGTGTGTCATGGTATTTGTTTAAAACAGCCTGTCTCTCCAGGGAAATGTGAACATCCAAAGAAAGAATAAAAGATCATATTGTTATTTGGCATAACAGAAGACTTGTACTCAAATCAGAGCTGCAAATACGTTCCAGATACTGCTATCTGACCTCATAATTAGCAGTGGCATTTGGTTTGGATATCCCTTGAGGTCGGTTATTGAACAAACAAACTTTGTGATGTTACCAAGTTTTTACTTGCCAATCTTCTGGAGCATACATGCAGTAATTTTTGACAGAAGAAGTGTGATTTTCATATGTTTAAAGCAAACCTGATATTTTCTCATTGTGGCGCTGATCAGCGACAAAGGACACTTTTCTGTTTGTGACCTCCAACTTTCTGCATCAGTTTTCCCTAAATCAAGCAGTTTTTGACTTTGAGTTATTTCAGATTTTTAGATTACATTTTAAACAGGTGTTGCTGTACACAGTGAAATCACTTTCAGTCAAACCAGAAGTGAAGCATCATGTGAAAAACTCAAGCCTAAAATCCTCCATGAGAACTAAAAACTCAAGCCTAAAATCCTCCATGAGAACTAAATTAATACTGCAAGTAAAGTATTTCTGATTTAGTCATGTCTCATAAATACACTTAGACCTGCTTCTTTCATTTCTTTTCCTAATGACCTCCTAATGGTCAACTGATTCTTTAGTGGGATGTTTTTTTCTTAAACTGTAGTTAGAGTGATTGGATAGAACCATAGAGCTTCATGTACAGGGAAGAAGTTGCACAGAATGAACTCTCTGATGTATTCTAATACACAAATGAATAATTTCCTCAGGCACACCATATTTCTTTAAATAGTTTAGTGGCAGCTCTGATACTTAACATAAATACCACGCAATAAAAGTAAATTTGTCATGTTCAGGACATGAATTATATACTTACCATGAGCACTTTAAATAACTTTTATTTTTAAAACGTATTTTCATTCTCTATATATCCTAGATATTCTCAGAATTTCTAATATGTCACTTTTCCTTAAAATGGTATTAAAATATAAAAAACTTTCTTCACTCAGGTGCTGACCCAAAATCTGTAGTTTGTGCTTTCTTCAAGCAAGGACAGTGCACTAAAGGAGACAAGTGCAAGTTTTCTCATGATTTGTCATTGGAAAGGAAGTGTGAAAAACGAAGTGTCTACATCGATGCAAGAGATGAAGACCTTGAAAAAGGTATAATAGTTGTAGAAAGTTACTGCTAACCTATTCTGATTCTGAAACTGGAATTTTAAGATTAAGAGTCTTCTGTATTGTGGTTATGATCCTGAAGAACAGTGAGACAACCCATCCCACTGTGTTCTGAGCAACACTGAAACTTTCTCCAAGTGCACTCTCAAGTGTTCTTGGACTTCACCTAGAACAAGAAGTATGACCTACTGATAATGGTGGTTTTTCAGGGTCATGTATTCTGTCATAGCAGTTGCAAGTTGAAGAGTATTTGACCTTTCTTGCAGTTGCTGTTTCCCTCTTAAGCTCTGTAGAAGGGAAGTGCAAAAGGAGGAAGTGCAATGAGCACCCAGAGTTGCCTTCCAGAACTGCTCCTAGTGTTTGGCTAAACGTGTACACTTCTACATTTAGGGATACTTGGGAATCTGTGGCTTTCTCTCCCCAAATGACTTGTTGGCTTAGTACTCTGGATTTTACTTTTATTTAGCAGGGATTAAAAGATTTTATAGAACTTGTTTTTTTCACATTTCCTCATGTCTTAGTCTTTATTTGAGTGTTAGCCTCTGTCATCCTAGATGCGTCTGATGGAATCCCACGGATTCACTGCTAATGTTGTCATTGGTGATTTGCTTCTTTTGACAGAACCTTCTTTTAACTTTTACACAGATAATTTGGTATTTTCTCTTTCAAGCCTCAAGTCAAATTAGCTGTATTTCTGGTTGTTACCCTCCAACCTTCTCTTTTATTCAGTTGGCTTGTTTTCCCTTGTCTGCACTCAGTTCTGTGCTGATGGAATGACACATTATTGAGTGTTTAACTGAAACACACTTTATGCATTTCAAAATTAAAATTCCTAGGGTTTTTGAGGTAATTGTCTTTTGAGTGGCATAGGAGAGTCTGAAAACAGTATTTTAAGAACCTGAATTTATTTTCCCTTGTATAAGCTACTTAAAATGTAAGAATTGCACATTAAAACTGTTACTGGGCAGAAAAGCAACTTGCTGGCAATGTTTAGTGTTTGGAATTTTTTGTAGAACCATCTGTTGTCTTTTTCTAGATACAATGGACAACTGGGATGAGAAGAAGCTGGAAGAAGTGGTGAACAAGAAGCATGGTGAGGCGGAAAAGAAAAAACCCAAAACCCAAATAGTATGTCTTCTTTTTTTTTTAATTTTTTTTTTTTTTAAATTGAGCTGTACTAGAAGGAATTAAGTGCAGTGCAGTCATTAGATGTGTTTATCATTATGTAAAATCTAGAGTGGAATATTATAATAATAATAATATTCTGACAACTGGACTGATAGTATTTCTAGTAATATCTTTAAAAATTAAAAAACCGAAACCAGAAAGAAAACTAAAACACAGCAGCTCTTTTCAGTCCATAAAAGGTTTTCTCATGTACATTACAAATGGATAGTAGGTGAAGTGCTTTATAGAAATGCTCAAGGTTTCACCAGTATATGTAATGCATCCTAATTGCTTAAAAAGTCCAAGTATTGTGGTTAGTGAAGTCTGTTAATGTAGTGAATATTATATATATATATATATATGTATATATATATATGTATATAGACTTATCTATGTACTGAGTAACATATAAGCATTATAAGATTTTAAATTTTCTCCTAATTTATGAATTGAGGGTAATTTGTAATTCCTGGGCCCTAAGCTTAACAATATTTTTCAGTTCTGCACTAAATGCAATAGTGGGTTCATCTCTTTTTCATTCTTTGGAACTATTCCACCTAATTTTCAATACCAAGTAATTAAATAGTCTATTGATACCACCTCAATTTGCAACAGTTAACCATTGCTGTGGCTAAATATAAACTATGAATTGCTTGTTAAAGGCCCTAGAATGGCATCTTTACCTCGGCATCCAGAGCTGAAAGGTTTAACACGTGAGGCAGATGCAATTTCTGTTGTTTAAAACTGCATTAATGTTGGTGAGCAGAAAGAGGTGTGCTGCTGGTTTCATGGGAGTGCAGGGTTGGCAGTCTTCTGTCGTCTTTCTCAGTTGGGATCATATTGAGGGAGAAAAAGTTAAACCTGAGTCTTGGATACTCAGTTGCACTTCTTTGTCTACTGTTTTTAGTAGCGATGCATTTCACATGTTCCTTTTGTTCTGAGCACAGCTGATTGGGATTTACTGAACTTCTGCCATGGGGTGTAAAATGCTGGGAATAAGGGGACACGGTGTTAACAGCAGCCATTGCTTTTATACAGGTCTGCAAATACTTCCTTGATGCTATTGAGAACAACAAATATGGATGGTTTTGGGTCTGTCCGGGTGGAGGAGACAACTGTATGTATCGCCATGCCCTCCCTCCAGGCTTTGTATTAAAAAAAGACAAAAAGAAAGAGGAAAAGCAAGATGAAATTTCATTAGAAGATCTAATAGAAAAAGAGGTAAAGTTGTCAGACAGGTACCTTTTGGTGGTAGTTGTTTTCATTCCTCTGAAGAGGCACGTAAAAGAATTGCTAATGTATAATAAAAAACTATTAGATGATTTTAGAGCTGTATGAGCTTAGGCAAAGGATGCATAGCATTGATTCATGTTTTTGTTTAGAAACTATTACCTAGTGAATAGAATTAACTATAGCTGCATACTTAGTGCAGCTGTTGCCTACCCATTTTAGGAGGCTTCTATTTCTTAACTTAATTTCTCATTTGTCCATTACAACTGCTTCTCTGGCTTTTCTCATCTCACTGTCTCCCTAGTTCTCCCTTAACTCTCTAATGAGGCAACAGCACAAAGAGCAGAAGGCCTTCTGAAGGTATTACTGCTCTGCTTCTTTCTGTCACCATTGCTTGGCAGTGCCACTTTGAGCAGAGCTCAGCTCTTGTCTTTCCTTTTTTTCCTCCTCCACTTTTCCTGTTAATGTTCATGCCAGGTCATCTCACTGACTGGAAAATCGCATGTTAAGTCAAATGCTAAGAGGATGATGCATGTTTAACAGCCTAAGAGTCAAGAGGGAATTGGAAAGAAATGTTTTCAATTAGTTTCTGGAAAAGAGTAATTAAATATCCAATTTGTTACAGACTGGAAAGAGTTTCTAGCATTAATCATTCTCATTCCTTGACAGCGTGCTGCCTTAGGACCAAATGTTACCAAAATTACTCTAGAGTGTTTTATTGCATGGAAGAGAAGAAAAAGACAAGAAAAAATTGATAAGGCCGAACAAGATATGGAGAGGAGGAAAGCAGATTTTAAAGCTGGCAAAGCATTGGTGGTAAGTTTTACAATTCTTAATGTAAGAAGAGCAAGTAAATAAAGTTTTGTGAAGAGGTAACTGGCCTGAGATTGGTTTGCTTGTTGTGTGTCATTTTCTTTTTTGTGTTTTGTTGGTGGGGTTTTTTGTAAGCTGTGTAAATTCCATGAAGTGATAACTGAAGGTTTCTTTTGCTGTGAATAGATTAGTGGACGTGAAGTATTTGAATTCCGGCCAGAGTTGGTTGATGCAGATGATGAGGAAGCAGATGACACCCATTATGTTCAAGGAGCAGGAGATGATGATGAGGTAAAGGAAACAGGATTAAATCAAGGAATATTTCAATTGCATTCAAGTTTGAAAGCCCGTACAATGGAATGAATAACCTTGGTTCTTAATAATGCCACAGAGTATATTTTATCAGAAGGTTGCTGTTGGAGGTGACAAATGTAGAAATCTTGCAAAAGTGAGGATTTTTATGGAGAAGCAATTCATGCAGAGCATCTTGGTTTATTTTCCAGGTGGAGGACCCTGTGTGTATAAATGATGTAGATTTGAACCTGTATGTCCCCAAGGCAGTAGAAGAGACTGGTATTACAGTGGCTAGTCCAGAGCGGTTCAGCACATACACTTCAGTAGAAAAAGATGGTAAGTTATTCTCTTTTCCAACCTGTTTTCATAGTTGATTATCCACACTTGCATGATAACCAGGTACATGCAATTTGGCCAATGTAAGTCTGTGTGAACTTCAAATAAAATAGCTTCTTCATAGTTTTAAAATTTGAAAGCATGTTTAGTAGGATTGCAAATTCAATTGGTGATTGAGAAACTTGTGACACTGAAATGCCTAAGAATTTTGTTTATTTTCAGATAATAAATTAAGTGAAGCTTCTGGTGGTGATATAAACAACAGCGAGCAAAATGATTTAGACGAAGATAATGATGGAGATGGGGAATTGGAAAATGGAGTAATTGATGCAGTTCCAGTTGATGAAAATCTCTTTACTGGAGAGGACTTGGATGAACTAGAGGAAGAACTAAACACTCTTGATCTAGAAGAATGAACTAAAAAGCTCCACTGAGGAATTAAACCTATGTGGCAAAGTGAAAACTGACTACATTTTTTCTCCTTTTTGAATAGAATTCTTAAACAAGATGTTTATGGTTATGCAGCTGAATATGATGGGCACGTGATATACCAGGAATGTTTTACTTCAATCTCATCTACTCCAGTCTTGACTATGTTCACAGTAAAACGTTCAGAGTAGTTCAGAATTACCCGACAGCTGAATTTGCAGACAGTGAGATTATAACTTTCAGCTAAGAGTAGGAAGTGTTACTGCTTTGCCAGTATGCAAGTGGGCAATTTGACATCAGGTACAGTACAAAAATCCAAGTATACATTCTTCACAAAAACTGCATTTTTTTTAGTGATTGTGTTGATTTAGAAACTGCCTGAAGTTGTTTCTAGGCAGGATACTCTAATGGAGCTGATGCAGATTATGCTTCTTTAAGTGGTGATTAGCTTTATTTGATCAGCTGGATACTGAAGATTGTGAACTGATACTTCATACAATACAGTATGGTGCCCTCTGTTTAAAATGTTTTAAACTTTCCCAACACCTTTTGCCAATAAATCTGTAAATAAAAGTTATCAACTTTAAAATACCTGTGTTGATTTTTCTCTGCTAAGTTAGGATATCATACCAAACTGTTAAGAGCTGGATTTTCCAATAGAGTGGTAGATGTTTTTCTCTGCAGTCTTGATACAGAAGTGATGATGTTGGCTTCAGTTAAATTTGGGCTACCTGCGGTTACGATTTTTTTGTCTACTCTTGATGCAATGTAAAATTCAGCAGCCAGCTTTTCTCCCTTCCTGTTCTTATTCCCTGCCCACCCATTAACTGATGTAATACCTGCTGTACATCACTGACTGCTTTTCCAGTCTCATTCTCTCCCCACTGTCTTTTGTAGATTAGCGAAGACTTGAGGCTCTGCAGAGCAGGGATGTTACAGTCCAAAACATGCTTGTCATCCCTTTGGTGTCCTCTAAATAACAGAAACTTGTACAGGGGTAAGTTGCCTCAGGTGCTGTACCCTGCAGACTGCACTTAATTCAAGTCAGTGTGTCCTTTTCCAATGGATTGAGTGTCTGCCATAAAGATTTCTCAGCAGTGGTGCTTTTCCAGGCAGCTGTGGGCAGCACCTCCTTGCCATACTACCTGTGGTGTCTGCCACAGAGCTGCTGTACTAATGATACCCTTTGTATCGATTTTTCTAAAGCTCTTAAATCGTTACTTCCAGACCAGTAAGAGTTATGGCATTGTCAGTGAGCTTTCCCAAACTGCTTTTGGGTGGTAATATTAGCTTTACTGGTTATTTCTGGCACTGCTGAATTGACTCTTGTATCATGAATGCTGTTTCTAAAATAGCAGACTTGGAATTTTTGGCCTTTTTTGGGCTCTTTGTGGAATTTGTTTTTCCTGTAGGAGCAAGAAGCAGTGCTTGGGAGAAAGAGGCCCTGAAATTGACTTCTAAATGTAAGTGTTTAAGGAAAAGCTGCACTATCAGATATAAATATTTATTTATGCAGATTTTTCTCCTGTGGCCATAAATAAACAGAATTGATGCATTATGGTATTATACTGGCCAGGATACCTGGCTATCAGGACACTTAAGAATGCAGTTCATTTGAATGTATGTTGCATAATTTTTCAAAGTTGTATATTTTAAATGGGAATAAAAGTAATTTAATCATTATCAAGGATGAAAATGGCTTTCTATGTTTTGTGTCTTAGGGGTTGGTTTATTGTATATAACACTCATTTTTGCTATACTTACCTGTTACACTGATTCAAGTAGCTTAAATCTTTGCCAGCATTTTGTTCGTGTTGCTTGAATTTTACAGTGGAGGAATGCCAGGGTGACTCATTAATTTCAGATAATAAAACACTGATCCATAGGCAGAGAGTACCTGTGTGCCCTTCTGGGTCTAAAAGGATAGTTGTGATGCACAAGTCCTTTGTACAGGTGTCATTTAATCACTCAGTCACCTTCCATAGCACTGAAATCCATTGAACATCTGTAAGCTGAAGAAAGCCTAATTTTCCTAGGCAGTAGCTGCTGACAGATGACTGCACATGGGCAGGAAACAATAGCTGGCTGTCTCTGTTTGGTTTTCACTCTTTTTCCTCTCCACTTACTCTGGCACAGCTCCTGGCTGGCCTTGCTCTGCCCAGACTTCCAACCATGAAAGCAGGGTGACTGCTCTTCAGGAGCCCTTTGTCAGGGGAGCATTCAGCCTTCTGAGGGTGGGGAACAGTATGCTGCTACATGTTCCTCCTGCTTTTATACAGGCTGCTAAAAGTTCTTAATCTTCCCCTTTAAAGAACCTTGGATTTGTGGCTCTCAGGGCTTCAGTCAATAAATGTTCAATTGAAAATGAATGCAAAGACGTTGCTTGGGGTAGATAAAATATTAATGTTCAGGAAATGAGCAGTGTGGCAGAAGGGAGTTCACTTGGATGTGATGTCACTAAGTTGTTCTTACTGATGCACATTTCCTGAAATTACTCTGATAAAACGTCAGTGAGTCACTTCTGGAAGAATGAGATATAATCTCAATCCATAAATAATGGTAACTTCAGTGACTGTCTAGCCTGTATGGGTCAAGAATACAATATTTCACTGTTAAAAGAGCAGGCAGGCTCAGTTCAGGACACTTTGCAGGGTTGAGAACAGGCTGTAGTAAAGCATCATAAGCCAGGTGAGAAACACCTTTGCAATAAACTTGGTTTCTAGCCCTTGCAGCCTGGGCCAGTGTTTGTATCACCTTGTTTTCCTCCTAACTTGGGTGAGTGCTGTGTGCTGCACAACTGCAGCTGTGGCCTGAGCAAATACTGGGGGAACACACTCGTGTAGCACTGTCTTGAAAGCACCTTTGGTACTGAACAGAACCAGTTAAAAGTGCTGCAGTAAACCCATGCCTTGGCTTCCAGGTATTTACTGTTGTGGGAGTAGAGTATTGGTTGGTTTTAAATTTTGGTGCTTTTTAAAATCCCCTTTCAGTCACACACACAAACTGCTTGAACTGCTGAAACTGGCTAGCTGTAAATTCTTTGAAGTTCTGGGAGTTTTTTAAAGCCTGTGTGATTGAATTTTATGCTTGCCACTCACAGCTTTGTTACTCACAGCTTCCTACTTTTTTTTTGTAATGAACAGTTCACAAAGGCTGGAAAAAAGTTAAAATTAACTGTCAAAATTGACCTTAAATATTACATTATCTATGAGTTGTTTGTAATAGAAGTGTTGCCATTTCTTAATGGAAAGTGCTTCCCAACTGTTTTTATCAAGAGGAGGTTTTATTACTGATAGAACTTTGGACCAAGCAGTGGTACTTACCTTGGCAATTTGGTATTCTCATAATTGATTGTGTGTGTTTAGTGTGTTGGTTACAGAAAGAATGTACACTTAAAAATCAGTATGTTTTTATTCATGTTTTCTTTCACAGTTTAGTTGGATGTGGAATAACAGCTTTCAAAAACTTATGTTCTGAGTGCTGAGTTCAAGACATTCTGAATGCTGAATTGTAATTCTTCTGCAGTGCTAATGCCCCTTTTAAAAATTACCTGATTATAGTAAGTAATGCAGGCTTAATTTTGGTAAGCTTATATATCTTGCAAATAACATACGTGGAGGTTTCATAAACATCATTTGTTATTCCTCTCCCATATGCTGCTTTGTAATAACTTATTGAAGCTGCAGAGTGCTCAAGCAAATGAACTAAAATTCTTACAAGGTTGGGTCTTTGTATTTCTCACAGTGAAATTATTGCAGCCCTGAGCTGAGAGGAGGGGATTGTTCTGATATGCAAAAATCACATACATATTCACCTGAAGTGTCTCAGGAGAAATAATCCCCTGAATAAAATTAATAAGAATTGGAACAGAATTGGAAAAATGAGATGTGGGAAAGCCAGAGGAGCTGCAAAAACCCATGTGACAGCAACTGCACTGCATCAGACAAGAGACCATTTATGATACTCCCAAAAAGAGACATCTGAGGAACAAAGAGGTAGGAGAAGGACAAGCCTGTGCACTGTTCAGGAGCGCTTCTCTTGCGGAGCTTCCAACAATTCTTAATCTACAACATTTCCTCTCCTAGATGGAGCCTGTGGTGCCTCTCTCTTGAGTGTACATTCCCTCTTTCTCTCCTGAATCCCTCAACTTTCTAACCAACTCTTGGAAGCTCAGGAGTTCCACACCTCTGCTACATCTTTTTTGGAGCATGACTCCTGCAAGCTTGGGTTCTTCCAGGAAGTTATATCCTGTGCCTGCCTTTGCTTTGACTTAATGCCAAATAGAGAAAAGGGGTGTAAAAAGAGACACTGATGTCTTTTCAGTTGTGAAGAACACAGTAATTTGATGTACTTCAGTGCTAGAAACTTTCAAAATTAAAAGCTTTCTCTTGACATGCTTGATTTTTTGCTATAAAAGGGCTTCTAATAAGCAGAATCTTTTGTGAAGCAAATGCTTCATGGATGAAGCATTTGAATGAAGTCTTTGGTTCTGGTTAGGTACCAGGTGTGTTTTGGGGAGCTGTGATCACCTTAAGTGCTTTTACTGTGATATCTGCACATGACCCTTCTCTTTTTCCCCCATACTGGTATTGCAGGCTTAGAACTGACCTTGGCTTAGCCTGTCACATTTACTTCTTCCTTTCAATGCATGCTCTGTCTTTTTACAGAGAGCAGCTGTTGCTGGTGTTAGCAATAAGGCCAAGATGTTTTATTCATTTATGATGTTACAGCCCTAATATGTGACCACAATAGGCTCCTTCATAGCACATTATTGAAATGAATGCCAAAAATAATCAGTTCTTTCAATCATGAAATAGCAGCAGCAGCATCTCATCTGTGTTTAGGGAAAGAGACCTTGGAGGTAATCTCTTTATCTTATATTTGTGGTTGAAAATGTAATGTTGTAATACATTTGGACCTAAATTTGGGCAAGGCTGACTTAAAACTTAGAGGTGTTCCCCAAGTTACCCAGTCAGACTTCAAGACTGAGACGGGCTCCTAAATCAAGAAAGAAACAATGGAAAAGAAAGCATCACAGCTTTTAGAAAAGGAAAAAAGCAGAAGCAATCCTGAAGGAAAGAGGTAAGCAAATTACTATTGAAGGTTTCCCAGAGCAAAACAATGTTCTTTGTACTGTCAGCCATTAGGGAAATGTGTTCTATGGAGGCTGCATCCTTGGGCCTATGTTTTAATTAAACTGTCTACCAGCATGTAAAATGGGTGTAGCACATCTCTTGCAGGAAATCAGCTTGTAACTTACATTTTTCAGGCCTCTACAATACATTTTGACAGGATTGCTCTTCTAGGAGAATTTTGGTCCTCTTCGCGTTCCACCTGCATTTCTGTTTTGTTCCTTGGTTTCTGTTCTTGGGCTCTGAACACAAGGCAGACAGAGATGGGATCAAAAAAGGCTGTGGTAGTTTGGTCTCTGCACAGTAATACAAATCCACTGCGAGCTCTCAGTCACTGTTTTCTCTCAATCTTAGTGATCTCTGACATGACAGGTAGTTTATTTCTTTAATTTGGGAGCAGTAGACAGAAAAAGAATGACCTCCACTTTAAAAATTCCATAGTTGCAACTTAATGCCT